GAGGAGGAGGAGGAAAATAACCAGCTGACCTTCCTGGATGTCCTCGTCTGCCGCAAAGATTTTGGTGGCCTAAAAACCAAAGTGTTCAGGAAAGCGACAAATACGATGCAAATACTGAACTTCAATAGCAATCACCCCACCAGTCACAAACGCAGTTGCGTAAGGGCGCTATACCGGCGCGTGGAGACGCAGTGCAGTGCAATGGAAGACAAGGTTGCTGACTTACAATATCTTCGACGGTTAAAGAGAGCCAATGCTTACCCGAGCAACTTTGTCAACCAGTGCATACGAAAAGGACACCAGAGACCAAATCCAACCGGCCCCAAATTTTGGCGGGTTCTTCCGTACGTGAAGAACGTCTCCGAAACCGTCAGTCGTCTTTTCACTCCACTTGAAGTTGGGGTCGCACTCAGGCCGGAAGCAACCATTAGGCTCAAGTCATGAGACCAAAAGACCCGCTGCCAATGCAGGAAACGTCTGGAGTCGTTTACAGTGCGCATATGGTCCCACTGCAGCCACGTGCTGCAAATACTGCACTCCTTGTGCCACCATCACCTTTACCTGCGAGGGTTTCTGATGATGGATTCGAATGAGAATCCGAAATTTCAGGCCAATAAATTTCTTGTTCCAGTGATCGCGTCTTCGTCTTCTAAACATCGATGAGTCTTCGCGGTGACATTGTTGTCTGGGGCCGACAGTCTTTTCAGGTGCCGGGCTAATCGATTACTGAAACGCAAGCAGTGAGCGATATATACCGACAAAAGAAGAACATGATAGGCGACAGCTAACAATCGAAGCAACCAGTCTCCAGACAGTATGCGCATTTGCTTAACCCGACTTAAATGGGATGTCAACCAGCGCAACGACATATAACAATAGACTCAGAGTGGAAACAGATGCTTTCACGAATCCCCACATAGTTGTGGTTGAAGCCCCAGTTAGCGGAGCTGAAACATTGACAAAGGCGACTAGTAAACAGAACCCCTTGGAGACAAATATTCTGGATCGATCGCAATGCATAATTGCCCATGGACCTCGTGAATCAACCAACGACAATACTAGGTATAGAATAACTAATGAAATGATAGGTGGGATTGGAGAAATTAAGATTTTGAAGCTTTCTGGACTGAATAGTAAAGATAGCGCAAACTATCTAGAGAAGAAATCTAGCCCTTTAAAAGTAGTTCTGGAAAGAAAGATCCAAAGGGGTCTTCTACTTGAACGAACGATAAGGATAGTCTTCGGTTATAGAGGTTATTCAGCCTGCCTACTCTGTACAAGGGAGGATGACATGGAGGGCGCTGAAAGCGGAACTGTAGTCCAGGAAAGAGAAAGGTGAGAAAGGACTGGTAATCATGAACCGCGTGATTGTTCAACAAAAAACCCCTTCTGTGGAGGACGCCCGTCATAATGACAAAAGTCACACGACCAGAAGAACAATTCACTACAAGAATATACACGAAAGTAAGTTTTACTATGGAAATTTGCAAACCCTCTTGAATAAACTCGATGAACCCAAAATCATTGTGGCCGATGCTCGTCCCGATGTTATTGCGTGCGAAATACAAATAGACGGCTATAAAATGCTAAGACAAGACCGAACCAAACAAGTGGTGAAATTGCCCCATGATCAGTAGTGCAGTTTCATACAAACCTGTCGAGGAATGTGTAACCGATCATGGTCTGGAGATGCTGCAGTGTCTTGGTTCCTGGATTTGAAAATGGTACTGTCGGTGTTGTATATAGGTCTCCAAACCAATCCGTAAGAAAACACCAAGCGTTCATCTTCCGACTCCACAAGGACACAAAGAGTTCTCAGTGGTCCGCTTGTAACCAGAAAACCCCAAACTCCATCTAAGAAGCCAGCGATAACTATCAACATGCTACTATCATGATTTCAATAACCTAGTTTGTTTGCGTTGAGTTTAACACTGTGCGCAGGTGCAGTCAGTATATTGTTCGGTGTTATCAAGCAAATTCGCCAACTGTTTACCACTCCTTTTTCACTGTCAGTCTTATGCATTTCGCGTGCTGAAGTTGCCTGTAAATTTTTGCAATATAACTACACTTCATACAGACTTGCACTTCTTTTAAATCAAATAAATCCAATCAGTGAACTTGGAGTAAATGACAGAAACCCTTGAGAACTCCATTTAAACGCAAACTAAACAGTACTTAACTTATCTGGTGGTCGCTTTCAATGAGGTCTCCTGCGGGGGTGCAATCGAAGCCCCGTCTTGGAGACGATGAGGCGGTGGTCCGTCCAGCCGTCGGCGTCGCAATTATCCTTAGTCACCAGAGCGTTCTGTAGATCTCGCCTCCAGACGAGAACGTAGTCTAGCGGCTGCCAGTTCCGCGATCGGGGGTGCATACAGGTCGCTTTCTTTCGCGCCAGAAGGCGAAGGGTGTTCTACGCACGTTCGCAGTAGAATAAGGTCATTATCATTGCAGCCACTGATTATATGAGAGCCCAACACCCCTCACCATGCTTCGTGGTCTTTCCCGACGGGGGCCTTGGGGCCACCAAGGGCAATCGGCTCGTCCGCTCTCGGTACAATCGCCAGGAGGGCGTGCAGGTTCTCGTAGAAGTCTTTCTTCGTCTCGTCGGCGCTGGTCAATTGGGTTGGGGGGGGGGTGAGGATCGTAGACGCTGACGATGTTTTCGAACTTGACTGCCTGAAGACGCAGGCTCAGGTTTATGAGGTGGTCGTTTATGTCCTGCGGCAGACAGGGCAGTTGCCCCACTGTGTCGCTCCAAATAAAAAAGGAGACACGAACTTTTGGGTGGCCGCTGCAGGGGTAACCGGCACTCACCTCATCCATTTCTACAAGCGGGTTTCGCTGAGAGCAGCGACGTTCACCTTGCAGCGTGCAAGTACCCGAGCGACTACCGCCGCCCTCCGCTCCGTTCGCTTTCTCCTCGGATTTTCTAGAAGTAAGCAGCATTACAGACTGCCAGAGTGAGCGGACTCACTTTGGCAGCCCGTGAGACGAGACAACGCATGGAGAATGAGGCGTGGATAGTTGACTGTTTGATTGCTTTGACCGTTGGTTGGCCATCTGCGTGCAGATTATATGGTCCCAGCATTTTTAGGTCACCTTTTCTAGTCCCCTCATTTGTGAGGGGTAAACAGTACTTTCCCCAAATAGGGCTGCTAAGACATCCCATACGGCTACCGAACTCCTCTACGGGTCGTGGCTTTGTTTAGTGGATAGCAATCGGATTTAGCCCGAGTCGCCTGCGGGATTGCATGTCACCCTCTCAGCAGGACTTCTGAAGTGAAAGGGGAGAGGAGGAAATGGGTGGGAATGGGGACGGGGGGAAAGGAGTGGAGGGGTTGGAGGCGAAGAAGGGCTAGGAAGGACGGGGTGGGAAGGATAGGAAAGGAGGACATGAGGAGGAGGGACGGAACGAGTGTGGGGACACACACAACACCGAATACCCTCATCTGGTTTAGCCCACCGATCGAGCCGGCTACCGAGATATGGTCGCTTGGCAGAGCCTAGCTTCGGGAACCACAGATTAGAGTTGGGTGCTAACTAGGGACCATGAGGGGCAGTCACCATTTATATGGCGCGATCTATCACTTGCGTATGGCTGTACCTAACTGTGCACACCTTAACCCCGAAACAGCCACCACCAGCTGCAACCCATGCAAAAACTCAAACGTACTCCGTGTCAGCAACTGAAAAGTCGTTGTGGCGCTGCAGCTGCCAAGTCAAATGAATTCAAGCGTCTCAGTGGGCATGCACAAGCATTCCTTGGGAGGAGACAAATGCCCCAGTAGAAGGCGGAATAAAGAGGCCTGACGACAGAGATCATGGAATCGAAGACTCCCATAGGCCTGCCTCGACAATCGTCTGCAAATGCTGTTAACGAGAGACTATCCCCAATCAGGCGTCGGCCGCTGTCAGCCAACTATGGCTTACTTCAGAGAATAAAACGACGTTGGGGTTTTCAAACCTGCGGTCATCAGCTTGCCGTTTGCCGTTTGGAGCTGGCATCGCATGCCGCTCGGACAGAACGCATCTTTATCTTTGACACCATTGGGACAGGGGCATGAAGTAACGACCACACATCAAGGCAGGTGCAATAGATCTGGACGCCCACCGACCGCGCAGTCAGCCGCCACACAAACTCGCCAACCCTATTTGTTTTTGCCAACCTACCCAAGAGGAGACAGTGAAGACACAAAACCGTCAAAACCATCAGCTGCCGCCACGATCAACGACGGGGGATGTAAGGTAGATCACGGTAGAATGAGGGTCCGCTTCGCGCCCATCGCCAACACGGGCAAAATACGCATTAGGCAAAATTCCCATAAAAACCTTGTAGCGTATAGTGAACGCCATCCACACAACTCCAGTCTATGTGGCTGGGTATTTGAAACAGCTGCTCGAAAATGCGGGACAAAATATTCCCACAAAGGGCAGTGGTTGAATGGCCACAAATCGTCTGTGTACCGATAAATTAGAAGAGGAGATAAGGCAGAACCTTGAAGTACACGACAGTAATATGAAAGAAGAGAAATTTTCGGTTGACAAGTTGCTAGAAAATGAGTTTGAGAAGAGACCTAGTGTGTGAGCAAAGGTAATATTCAGTCGGAGAAATCATACCCTGATGTTTTCGTAAGAGAAATTTGACGTGCTGCGACAGAGTTGTAACCAATGATAGCACACACAGCGTACTTTACAACAACACCTTAATAGGCTTCTGAACCGAGCCGACAACGTGAAAAATGGTATCTGATTTAGTGCTGCTGGCTTTAGGTAAAAATCGTAAGAGAATGGAGAGAGTGAGGGAGAATATCACGCTGATTTTTGGGGCAAATTATTCAGTGAGTCTCAGATGAGCGTCTCCTTCACCTCAGCTTCCTCTTTAGGATTTCTGTTTGTTGAAAGCACCGGAAGGGCCATGATCCAACTGACCGTAAATCAATATTAATTTTTAGACATTCCCACTGAAAGACCGGCACTCGGCTTTATTAGGCTACTTAGAGGACGGAGAAAAGCATAAGCTTTGACAAAAAGAGAATGACTGCTCGTCTAAAAAAAACCTGGAATAGAGAGCAGGCTTGTGGTTTATTTGTCGATACAGCCCGCTTCAGCAGAAACTTTGTCCTAAGTAGATATTTTTTGTTCAATATGCATCGACATTGGTACAGAGACGTTGGAAATAGCGCATACTGGCCGAAAATTGTAATCGTTATCATGGTTTACAATCCCGAGTGTGTCTAACGAATAGGGTCTTTGGGTAGAATAAGCAGTGATCCAGCCAGTCAGATGTTTAAAACTTAGAATTATACGGAAGTAATACCGACAAGGACGAAAGACGACATGACCTTATATAGCTTATTTGCTTTAATAAACCAATTATAACCCAATTTCGGGAGAAGAAGACGCGCAATCCGAATTCACAGTAGGGTTACTTGACGATAATAAACAGCCAGGAATGGCCTCTGAAATCCCGTTATAACTGTCGGCTGTTCTTCAGAATTTCTGATTGCTTGTCGCTAAGCCACCGCATACAAGGACGTCTGATTACATTTACAATGCAAAGCCGAACAAACATATTGTTTTCTACAACTAGTTTGGCGATGTGTCAGTTCCATGCGATGTGATTGCAGGCTGCGAAATCAAAATACGTAAATGGACATGAGTCATCAGGGATATACCTTTTATAACGATACTTGAGATTAGGTATGGGCCGCCGAAAGAGCAAAATGGCAAATTAGGAAGTAATTAGGCCAGGATATCATTAAGTGAAAACGGAAACGAAATATAAATTAACTAAGATACGAGTAGCGTGGCAATATGGCGCAGTAACTCTGACACTTGAGGCACGATGCAGAATCAAGTCTTCTGAACACAGGCCTCCCTATAATCACACAAAACGTTTCAAGATACTGGTTGTGAAAGGGTGGCCTGGGTGCACACTTCTACCTGAATTAAAGTTCGGTGGAGGAAAGAACGTGCGAGTTATGAACAGTCGTCCCCGATAAGAACGCAGTGAGCCGGCTTGTCCAACTCCCCTTCCTAAGTTTCCGAGCATGCCCTCGAAGACTCCATTTCAACGTCTGTTGAAAAAGTTGCATCTGGTTGATTTGACGGTCAAATACTATAGTTCCCAGAATATTAAAATCAAATGCCCTCTGCCCTGCCCGTAAATGAGAGTTAATATGTCCATGACAGGCGATCATGACACTATCATAGCTCTTGCGCTGAGTCTCTTAATTCTTCTAAAGTGTACAAGCTGTTCATAAGGCAAGGTTTAAAAGGTGGCTCAGCTTTCTTCAGCTACTGATGAACGAAGAACACAAGATATTTTTTAAAGACACTAATGTCCGAAATGGCCAACGAACGCAGGAGCAGTTGTTTTTATTGTTGGCTCGTACATTGTCTTTCGGTGGCCTAGTTATTACATGGTACATTGTCAAGATCTTTTAAGCCTCATATTTTCAAGGGAGCTATATTACGAACTTATTTATGGAGATCCCCATCTCTCTTCAAAAAATTCGTTGCAAGTAGGTTCTCTGCGTTATACTCTTCATACAGTTCTTCACTCCAGTAGTGTGAAATACCGTTGTCCTCAGTAAGCATAGGGGGTCATTTTATTCCATTTCCACCGCCTTATTCTATATTTATCTGTAAAGGTTAATGCTGGTCTAAAATGAAGAGGAATAGGTGGAAAAAGAGCCTTGGGATGCTACCTCTAACAAGCGCGCAAGCTGACACAGTCTCCATTGAAACTCTTTTTTCTAGCGTTCTAATCGCACAAAAATCTTCAGTAGCCCAAAACCCCGCAGAGTTAAGTTCTAAGAGGAGGCGAAACGGACCTCTCACTGAAGTAGGAAGGAAGCTGCCTAAAGTTGCGGCTTTATTTTCCTGACTTGCTGGACACTTAAACCTGGAATAATGAGACATTCCATCATCTTATTTGAGCAGACGCAGGCAGAAGTTAGACAGAATTTAACAGATAA